TTGTAAAATCCTCAATATAGCATTCTTCTTCTTCTTCTTCTTCTTCTTCTTAGTTGGTCGACAGAAAGTGCATGACCGCTATGCCACTGGTGACTTCCAGTGTTTCGCCCCAGAGATCTTACCTGTGTCAGGCCTTGCCTCTTAGTACAAAATAGTTCAGTATATTTAGGGTACTAGGCAAGAACTTTGAAGACCACATAGTGACTCATTTTTTTTCTAGCTGTTCAAAACTTGTCTGTAAGGGTTTCCGGGGCCAGATCCAATGCCAACGCTATTACTCTCTCTCCCTGCCTCACAAGTAGGAAGCTTTATGTGGTGAGAGGCTGCTCAGTGGTCAATATTCTTACCGTGGTCTGATGCGAGTACAGCGAGGGTGTAATTCCAGTCGAAGAGTCTAGTACCTACAACGACACTCTGTCCAATTTGGCAAACTGTGAAACGACTGACCCCTTCATCTTCCCCTTCCCACCTCTTCCACGTAATCATTCCTATGTTACCCATCTTCTCAGTTTACCTTCTCTTACTTAGGCCTTCACCGTCCTCGTTTCCTCTGTCTTCAACTGGTATGCCATTTCTTTTTATATATTCATTCTCTGGTGGATTCAACGGTAATTATCCGCTAACTGACTCTGAAGGCCGGCTGTCAGGTCAGGTGGAATACTGTTACAACGTCAGATCCCCTGGTTCTGCAGCTATTACAAACAAAGTGGCTCAGTTCTTTCGGAGCAACTTCTACTAATCTAACTTAAACCCTTGAATTCCGTCAAAATTATGAAAAATTTTGGGTTTATTGTCAGAAGCTAGCAGGACACAAAGATTGAAAATAAATTAGGCGCACTATGTATTCTACCAGCTAGCAACAAAACACTTCGGAAAATGGTTCCATTTTCGAGCAGGAAATTGTTCCCCGATTTCATATCATGCTAAAATCATGTCCTAAGGAGAAAAGTGATTGTACAAAGAGGGAAAATAACTCCAAGAGCCTATGTATCTTACCCTTATTTCGTTGGCTAACTTTGACGTCTCACTGTAGATCCGTCGTCCGGGGTTGAATTCCTGGCTATTCTCGGCGATGATAACCTGGCTCTCCAGCTTCGACTCAACTTCATTGGCCTCATGGAAGAACTATGAAACATCAAAAATCAACATTTAGACACGGCTATCAAACAGGAGGAATAATATGATTTATGCGCAATGGTTCTTCTCATCCTGTAACACGGAATTCTCAAGCAGAGATACCGAAATGCGCTAGAATTTGAAAAAAACATCAGACTTCTATTTTTACCTCAAGTTTCCTTTTGGAAGCCTAGAAAGTTGCGAAGAATGATATTCTGTCCAGACGTTTTGAATGTCCGTATAGTTGTATTACCGGCTAGAAAACGAGCTCGTGGCCCAATGGTACGGACGTTTGAATCTGATCAAAAGGTTGCGAGTTCGAGGCTTAAATGGGGTTCCACTTGGGTTTGAGTATGACTGGCTGACGACGGCCAATAAGCCAGAAATGGCCATGCCAGTCTCCCTTGTATTTGTTGGAAATACTATATGCCTATATTCCCAGCTGTTATGGCCGTCAGGGCCCCTGGGGGGCCTAAGGCATGGCGGGACAGATAAACCCCATTTGAGGTTAGGTGAACGTTCATCAACGAGCTGTATTCGTCGTTAGTTTTTGCGTCGCATAGAGTACATTGTAAATTTAGTTGACCCAATTGTGAAAAAAAGTCGCGGCATTCGGCGGGATTCTAACCCGCATAGGAGAGTGGCCTTTTAGCCAAGCCAATGCTCTACCCATTTGAGCCGTGCTGTGGTACATTGGCCAGGCAAGTAAGGTCCCCTCTCAAGATTAAGTCAGTGATATAGTCCAAGGCGTAATGATTAGTTATTATTATTGTATAAATTAACCAATGTGCCACCTGACGGGGATGAGGCAGTGAGGTCCTAAATTTAGTTAGGGCCGGGAAATGACCACCGTTGTGGGGTATGGTCTTTATAGCATCTCCTGTTTTCAAGGTTCTCGGTCATAAGAGTTCTCCTTATAGCACATTAAAACATATATTAATTTTTTTCTTCTGAATTAATTTTGAACTTTTCATACCATCTAGGCACTTCCACAGGCTGTCCAATTTTATGATACATTTAACTTTTTGGTCTTTTTAATCCCTATGCGATATATCCCGGTTTGCTTTTGTTGGGAGTAAGCCTGACTGAGTGCCAGCATGGCTTTGCAGGCTGTCCTGACGAATCGCTCCTGTGGCCGACACCAATAATTATTCTTTGTTCAGTGCGAGGGACCTCAAGGTCATGTGTCTGCGCTGGTTACTATCCCAACTCGGTGATTTTAAACCACGCACGCGCGAGCACGCGCGAGCACGCGTGAGCGCGCCACCCTCTGGCCAAGCGGCAGGTAATCTCAATACTCTACACCCTTTAAGTAATCCAACGCCCCAATCATGCAATACTTGAACTCGTTTAACAATCACTTGTAAACAACTGTCACGTCTCACACAGGAACCTGCTGGGACATGCAGACACCTTCAGCCTTACTGGACGCAGTCAACATCAGCCCGGGCTTCGCCCGCGCCCACTGTCACCCGAGGCAGCAACTCCAGGTTCTGTAGTACACAATAAAACCCTCATTCTGGTGGCTTTGCACTTTTACGACCTTGT